CACCGTGGTCCGGCAGGCTTGCCCCAGCTTGGCAAACCTCGAGGCGGCAGAGAAGTGACAACACCCCAAGAGAGATGCAAAGCTCATCTGCTGGTGCTGCGGGAGAGAAGGGCAGCAGGCTCGCCACTGCCCAGAAGCTCGCACCAGAGCCTCTGGCAGACGAGCAGGGGACACCGGGGAAAGAGAGGCACCCTCCACTCCATCCAGGGCACACCGGACCCGCACAGCGTGCCCTGAAGCCGCTCTGGCCTGCCCGCCAAAACCTCGGCAGAGACGAACGACATTGGCGACCAAGGAGGGCAGGCAACACAATGGACTTCAGCCGCTCACCGGCCGTCAAGGGCTCCCCACTGGTCAGTGACAAGAAGCTGCAGCGCGACTCCAGCTGCGAGCACGACCAGCAGAGGCAGCAGCCGGTGGCAACTGGAAAGGCCAACGCGAGCTTGACGAGCAGTGGGAGCGGGACCATCACAACCGGGAGCAGCGGCGGGAGTCCGTGGAGCAGGAGCATTGGCTAAATGACCAACTGGGAATGTACCCTATCAGCCACCTTCACCCCACCACACTTCCATCCGTCGAAGAAGCATCTCTTCATCTCGGACATGTTTAAATCAGATTTGCTCACAAAGTTGCTAGTGTGACTTCTGGATAAACATAGTTCCCCGATTCAGACACACAAGAGCGATTGCAATACTGCTGCTTCCAGTATTTCCCTCCATTTATATCTGTGAGCTATTGTTTTATCCAATGAACATTTTTAAAAGCCAAAAAAGGAACAGACTCTCCAATACACACCTGGATCAGTGCCTTTGCATCGCCACAACAGAACACCACACCAACTTCCGATCTCTTATATCTTCAGGCTTCTGTAATTAATTTGGGACCTCGGACCTATTTGTTTGTATGCTTAACAAGCTTGTAAGAGAAGGCTGAACAGAAAATGAGTGTGGATCACATGTGTCTCAGTTGCTGTTAAAGGTACCACATAATCTATTTTCATCAGTCCAACCAGATATGCATCCTAACTCCGTAAGGAGGAGTTTAGTCCTTAAGCTGATGAGTGTAAAGACAATAAAAGTCATCGACTAGAAACACTACTCTTCAGGCACATGTGACTATGAACCTCCCAAGCAAACTGAAACTCAAAATCCAGAGAAGGCGGAGGAGTATGTTCTTTCTGTGACAGTGTTCAGCAGCATTTCAATCAATGCATAAATTTCAAGATGCTGCTTAAAGACCCAAAGAATAACTGGATCAGGTACACTGCAAAAAATTAACTTTCAAATTTAAGATAAACTTTCTCTGTTTTGAGGCAAGATGGCCTAAAACTAGCAAAATTAATAAAAAAAAATAATAAATTGTCCTTGGTAAGATTGGTAAGATTTCCAAACAACAAGCAAATTAACCTTATTCAAAAGATCTGCTGTTAGTCAGTTTATTAATGAAATTAGAATTTTGTTTAAATATAAGAAAATTATACTTGCTTAGATTTTCATGTTTTGCAGTGTGAGAGGAACAGGAGATGCACACCTAACATTCAGCCTTCCTCTGAGTTGACTTTCTTCGGCACGGGAAGAGCAGCCTGCCCCTTTGTTGGGGCAATTTTTGGCCACCAGCTGTGTCCTCTTGACACGTCTTCTAGTGTAGAAACCATGGTTTCCATCATGGTTACACTTTTCCCCTGCTTGTGTGCAGTGGATTTTCAGTGGGCCTTTGCATCACACCACCCCTCTCCGCCCCCCCCCCCCCCCAAAAGCATCATGCTGGGACCCCGCATTGGCTCTTGAGGGGGACTCAAGGGGGACAGATCGTGAGGGAAGCCACTGTTCGTGCAAGAGAGACTACCTGCAATCCCATGGGGAGTCCAGGATGACCTGTTCAGTGGTGGATGTCTCCTTTATCTGCTGGAGCAGGGGCTGGCTAGAGAGGAGAGATTGAGAACAAAGTAACCAAAGCATCCAGCCAGTCCCAGGAATGCTTGGGGTGAAGGAAAGTCTAGATGGTTCTCACCTTCCTCTCCTCAGCCAGGAGTGCCGGATGCTGGGTGCTGGCAGGTGCCCGCTGGCAGGTGCCCGCTGGCAGGTGCCCGCTGGCCCTGGCACAGGCAGGACGGCTGAAGATCTCCAAATCAGTCAGATGGGAAATTGCCATCTATTGCATTCATTATCCTTCAGGACCTGATTGGTGCAACTTCTGCTGGGCCTTTTTGGAGCAGAATCATTATTGCTTATTAAAAGTTTTCTGAGAAAGAGTAGAAAATTTGTTGCTGTAATTGGTAGCAGAAATTATGTCACAGAATAGCACATTTGTGGACTTTCCATGTCTTTCTGTATGAAACAGTAGGTGTTATGTTTTATATAATGTTATCTAGAATAGGTTTGTATTCAATTTACATTCTAACAATTAGCAGTGATAGTATTCGTGGCTCCAATGGTAATGTGCTAATTAACTTCATATTGTCTATGTTCAGTTCTGTATGTGTAGTTTTTGTACTCTGAGTACAGGTCTGGTAAAGAGAATAATTAATTTATGCTTGTTACTTAATGAAGTTCATTTAATCCTGTGTTCGCTTCCTGCAATTTATATCTGGCTTATTATTGATGTAAAAGTTTGAGTATCACAGTAGGTAAGTCAAGTCAAGTCAGGTCAAGTGAAGTGGGGCTTTATTGTCACACCAACCATGATGAGTACACTTCACACAGTGATGCAAAATAATAATCGGACGTACAAAGGGTGGGGTGGGGTGGGGGGCTTCAACATTTTTGCAACATTGACACATGATGTAAAACTAAACAATGATGGAATGTTTAGAATGGGTAATGATGGAAGCAGAAGAGCATATAAGTGGTAAGTACTAGTAAATAATTAATAAAATGAAAGATAAATTATGATAAATAATTTTGGAAATAGTGGCAGTAACAGTGCAAATAGCAACGTGATGCTGCTTTCGGGCACATCGTGTCATATCATCAACGAAGGGCGGAGAGGTCCAGGTGATCTTCTCAGCTGCATGCCGGGTCTTGTGGACACAGGCGTAACAGTTAAACCAGACAATAATTAAGCTTTACATATAAAATGTATATTTTATTCCAACCCCACAAAAAAAGGTCAAGGATCATGGGTGTCTAGAGCCTGTACTGAAATCCAGTCTCTTAACTAAAATTATATGTTGTAAATAGTGTTGTATGGTCAGTTTATTTAAATTGTACTGATTTAATTAACATGCATGTAAAATAAAATTACGTCAAACTAATTATCAGTATTGGAAAATATGTAACTTCTTGCCAAGACAATTTTTGAAAAAAAATGATGAAAGTGAGCGCTTGCTATTGTTGAGTGAGTCAAAGTTATAAACACCTTGACGATTCAATAATAAATTTCAGGTTATAAAGAAGGCTATTTATACATGGTAATCTAGTTTCATTATATTGGTTCTCTTTTGCCAGTGACCACTGAATTATGAACTAACAGAAAATCTGTTTGGACTATATATTTTCAGCTTCAGTAGTTTTGTTAGCTATATAGTTTTTCAGTGATTGGAAAAAGGAATGTCACATTGTTAGCTATTCACTCTTTTCATTTGAGGGCTTGACTCCCCCCGCTGCTCCCCCCGTGTGAGTTTGCGTCTACTCCCCGTGTTATGTGAACCTCCTCCTGCAGTCCAAAGACACGCGGTCAACAGAATTTTTCTAAATCACCCAAGGTGTGCGTTTGTGTCCCATGTGTCCTGGCACCCTGACTGAGAGTAATAGTGAGGAGATGCACAATTAAAACTTCTTTATATTAACCAAAACTTGAGCCTATTATGTTTTTATTTTATAGAACATATCATTGTACAAGAGAGAGTATGATAAGTATGTTTTTGTCAATAAGAAGAAGACTCCCCTACAAATATAGAAACTAAACCCGACTGCAAACATGGATATGAAATGAATCATTATTGATATTATATTATTGAAAATAATGTCATACACTTACATTTTGGTTTGGTAGTTTAAAATGTGCAAAGATCACTGTATATATGTATATACAAGCTAAACATATACACGATTCCATATATATATACATACACACACACACACGGGGTACTATGTCTCAGGCAGTCAAAGTAAATGATGTTCAGTTGATCCTCATGTTGGTTTAAAACATGTTTGTCAAAGTGTGTCAGCTTATCCATTTCAGTACCTCTCCTAAAGTCACCCCAGGATTTGCAGTAACAATCCAATGCACCAGTATTTTTTGACTAAACCACTAAACGCACGTTCTTTGGCTAATCAATACTTCATAAAGATATTTGTCTAAGTTAATTAAGTGAGCTGGTGGTGAAATTTACGGAATACACGGAATTGCTGGGGTGCCCCTGAGGAGAAGGTTTGGGAACTGAAGTGATGTTCTTCTAGCTATCCAAGAAGATTTTTTTGGAAAGTAGAAGAATAGTTAGTTTTTATTGTGTTACTGTAATTTTGCATACTGTAGTTTTAATTTTCTGAGCAAATATACACTTACTACCCAGATAAATAGCAAACATTTTCTCTGAGTGCCTAAGACTTCTTCCCAGTACTTTATATATGGAACTGTGTATTACACAATGTTTGGGTTTTACAGGAATACAGTAACAGTCAAACGTTTGGACACACCTACCCATAGAAAGGCTTTTTTGTAAGATTCTTGACACTTTAGCATAGTTATAAAAACATAACAAAAGCCATATATGGAATTATGCACTGACCAAAAAGTATTAACCAAAAAAAATCATTTGTTGGGGTGGGGGCAGCTCTGTGGGTTGGGACTCAGAAGGTTGCCAGTTCGAATCCCATGTTCAGCAGAATGATCCCACCACTGGGCCCTTGACAAAGGACCTTAACCCCAATTGCTCCAGGCACTGGCTGACCCTACTGTCCCCTCTATGCCAGTTCCATGAGGTGGCCTCCTGGGATGCTTCTCCAGCTGTCCTGAAGGAGGACCCACATATGCTGAGCACTCATTGGCCACTTCTCCTTCACTCTCTGGTCAAACTTCTCCAAAACCATTTCTAAAGCATTCAGGTCAGGTGGCCAGGTCATGTGATGCGACAGGTGCCTTGGCGTGTCTGAACTTTTGACTGGTAATGTACGTCCCCAAAAGATTCTCTGAAAAACCAGATCTACATATTTACATAAATTATAAAGGTCCACATAATTCTATAGTAATCCAGAGATTAGTCAAGATATGTGCCTTAAAACGTATTCAATGTACTGTGCAGAAAAGTAACTGTTCCTTTAGTCATGCACTCCATGTTCCTCTCTGCTGTTTATTCCAAAAGAGTCATGTGAAGGGCTGTTGCTTGCTGTCCTGAAGTTTTCATCACCAACATCTTTGTTCTGCAAGGAAAACAAATGCATTCAGATTTTATTGCTGCTTTTGCTGTTAAGCCTTTTCATTAAAGGGCCCCTATTGTGCTTTTCTGGCATTTCCCTTTCCTTTAATGTGTTATATAGCTTTATGTGCATGTAAACAGTCTGCAAAGTTATAAGGAACAAAGTACATGCCAAAGCGAGTAACTCGCACCACAGAAAGCAGGCTTCTCTAATCTTCCTGAAAAATCCTTGATTCCATGACCTGGTGAGGTCACCTTATAACACAATCCTTATTGGCCGCCTACCTGCAAGGACCTGTCTGCACACAACAAGATAGGGGCAGAATGTGTAGGGCAACCTGACCACATGTGTAAGCTGACCAATCAGAGCATGCTGGGCATACGGGGTGGGCCTAAAGCTCTAACAGTGCGTTTTGGATAGAGGGTGAATAGAGATCAGCAGTAAGAGAAAAGTAATGTGCTTTTGGAACACTGAAGGATGTAAATATACATCCAATTGTTTGTTTTGTTTATTTTTGTTTTATCTATTTTGTTTCTTTTATTTATTTGTTATTGTATTGTTTAATCTTTTGTACTGTGTGTTTTTGTCTTGTAAGGTGACCTTGAGAGTTTTGAGAGGCGCCCACTAATAAAATGTATTATTATCAGTTTTAAATCTAGTAGACCCCAAAAATAAAATTATGCACAGTGAAAATGAGCGTAATAGGTCCCTTTAAGATATTACTGCTGAAAGAAGACTGTGCCCCTGCAGAAGCTCACCTTCGGTTTATGTCCTTTTTGTCGACCGTTGAGGTAGCCAGACACATCTTCTGTGCTCTTTAAGCTGGTAGATGACGATGGAGTTGGAACAGATGAGCCCTCTTCACTGCTAGACCTCCGGTGGGATACCGTGTTATGCCGTAATGTAGCCCTAGCTACTACCTTGAAGGCATGGGCAGCTGTGCTGCATCTGACCTCCTCAATAGTGTTCCGGGATGGTTTTAAAAGGATGATGTACACTTTGTTGAAGAATATACAGGTCAGTAATCCGAAGCTGGAGGCCAGTATTGCAATGACTTCTACTGCTGACACAAACTTGCCATAAGTGCTTATGTAAGCGGGAATAAAGGAAATCCAGACAATGAAGAAAATTAGCATACTGAAAGTGATGAATTTGGCTTCATTAAAGTTCTCGGGTAGCTTCCGTGACTTGAATGCAAAGAAAAAACAGACTGCAGCAAGAAGGCATGTGTACCCTATAAGGGACCCTAGAGCCATTAGTGATCCTTCATTGCAGGTAATGAAAATGATTTCATCCATGTCATGGTTGCTATAGCTTTCAGGGGGCGCATTGTACAACCAGACCACGCATATCATAATTTGAACCAATGTACACATGAATACTAAAAAAAACTGCAACTTTAAACCCCACCAATTGCGATGCAGGCTGGTTGGAATCTTAGCCTCAAATACAAGAAGTACACGATTTGTCTTTACCAGTATGCATGAGATGCAAAGAACGAAGCTAATCCCGAAAGCAGGCTGCCGTAAACGGCACGTCCAATCTTGAGGCTCCCCAATAAAAATTAAAGAGCTGGAGAAGCAACAGATGAGTGAGAAAAGAAGCAGGTAGGAAAGTTCTCTGTTGGTGGCTTTGACGATTGGGGTGTTGCGATACCTGACAAAAACTCCGAGTACAGAAGATGTCAAGAAAATCCCGAGCATAGCAAACAAAGTCAATGCTATCCCAAATGGTTCTGTCCATGAAAGAAATTCAATGTCCTTAAGAATACAGGACGTGTGATTGTCATTTGACCAGGAGTTGTTTGGGCATTTGGTGCATACACTTGCATCTGAAACAAAAAATTCCAAACATAATATGACATTTTTTAAGTGTAAGAATGTTCAAAGCATTTCAGATCCTGGCGTCTCACCTTTATGGTCACTGTATTCTCCATCTGAACATTCTGTGCATTCAAAGCAACAGGTCGGCATGCTTTCTATAATCCCCTTTCTGGTTCCTGGTTCACAATCTTCACTACAGTTAGAAAAAGGCACCTGATTTATGAATGAGAAAGAGGTAAAGATAACACTAATGATCAGATTGTCACGTCAATAAGCACCCAGAGCACAGACAAACCCACCAGAAGCCAGACTTCAGGGAACACGGGGTTTAATCGGACGAAAAGGCAGGCAATAAAGCATAGACAATACAATGACCGGACTGGGGAAACAAACGGAAACACGGACTAAATACACAAGACAGGCTGAACATAACAGGCAACAGGTGATTACAATCGGGAAGTAACACGAGGTAATGGGGGGGGCGTGACACACACGAGGATCGGACGAGCCGGACGTGACACAGATCAAATTAACTATTTACCAGTTAAAATCTGTATAAAACAACAAAGCACTCAGATGTTTATTCATTTGAAATGTATTTCAGTAAAATGTTTTGATTAGATGAATGCAAATGTAAGTCCTTAGCGAGGTTTGAAACAGATCTCTGTGGCTGCTGTTCTGTAAAGTGCTTAATGAATATAATTTCAACCTCTTTATTATGACCTATCCACAGTTTTATATCCTGAAAGAGATAATCCTTTATTCAAATTAATTGCTATTTTTGTAAGTAAAATGATCTTTTTTTGTCTCACGTCCATTAAATCTAATAGCATGTAGTGTCTCCATCCATCCATTTTCTCTAACCACTTGTCCTATTCCGGGTCGCGAGGGTCCACAGCCTATCAGACGCTATGGGCGGATGGTAGGGAACAGTCCAGGAGGGGGTGCCAACCCCACACTGAGTATGCAGCTTCTCTCTAAGCGCAATTTCTAGTTAAAAGACGCTCGCAAGAGTATGATGGAATTAAATGTAAATGCTAAACCTATTAAGTAAAATAGAAGAAAAACTGGAAAAATATACTGTAAAACATTTTGAAAAGAAGAGCTGGATGAATATATATAAATATATTAAAGAAAAAATACATATACATAAAATATTTTTAAATGTTTCACATGACTCATGGATCCAATTTATATTAATATTACTAAAATGAGTCAGTATATCATACCAAATATCAAACATAAAAATCATACAAGCTTTTTAAAGGAACTGAATGTATTTTAAGGTCACACTGCACACAGTTTATGCCGAAAGGGGGGATCGACAAAGCTCCCAAATGGAGGCTGCACATGACCAGTGCTTTGACCAGTGCACCACTTCAGATAACCACATTTCATTTGGAAGGATGGATGACTGATGGAGTTATTGAATTAGGCCAAATCTACATCTTAATGTAATTCAAGCACTGCAAATTTAGTCAAAGATGCTACCCAATAATCATCTTGTCGCCATTTAAAATGCATAAAAACACTGGTCTAAATATTCAATACAAATTAAAAACTTCATGGTAACACTTTACTTGAGGAAACATGAATAATGTTGTAGTACATTGCATTAATGCATTAATTAACCAGTAACTAAGTGTTTGTTTAGTACTGATTCCATGTGCATTCATCATTAATCAATCATGACAGTTTATGCATTTCATGGGGAAACCTATATTAGTTCATGATTTGTTCTTCAGTAGTAAATGAGTTAAGTAATTTTTGCTCTCAAGTGAAGTCCTACCATTATTAACTAATTAGTTATCTGTTAACTAATATAGTGCCTGACTGGAAAACATGAACTGTCATGATTAATGAATGATGCAATGAACAAGCATGAGATCAGTACATAAATAACATTTAGTTATTAGTTAATTAATGCATTAAGTAAGCATGTACTAGTACATTATTCTTGTCCCCTCAAGTAAAGTATGACCAAGTACATTTCATAAAAGTTACTGAGACAACTTTTTTGGCAGTGTGAAAATCTATACAGTTCAAGTTTGTCAGTATAAGTAACACCTTTAGAAACTGGTTTATGATCTGTTGACATTTCATGACTGTCAGGGTTTAAACCAGACCATGTTTATGAATGTAGTAGAAGTGGTTTAAGAATAATAAGCATTTCTGGTAGGTCCTATTTTTGTAATCTTTTTAATTAGTTGGTGCTTGAAATGTGGAGCCCATCATAACTGCAAAATCTGTAATATTATAGGATTTCTTGGTGCCCATAGTCGTACCTGCTTTAGATATCCATTCCATAATATTTTAGATGTATTAATGAAGAGCCGAGCTCCTTTCTTAGCAAGCATGTTGTAATAACCGATCTCTTCAAACACCACACTGCCATCTAGAGGGGACCGATGCCAGTTGATGATTGTGTAGTTCCCTAGTATATCTCCACTCTCGTCAAAGTCTACTTGCTCTCCCATGCTGTTTGTGAAGTTCAAGTGTCTCAGTTGCTTGAGTACCTGGGAAATAACTGGACTGTTATTGAACATAAATAAAAGAGACGAGATAGGTAGCACCCACCTATAATTAGGTAGGATTATTTACTTATAGATTCTTTTTAGTAGATACATTAACATGCAAACTATATTACAACTGCTATATGCAATAATTAAAGAATGTGCATATTGAATAGAATTAAAAAGACCTTTGTAACTCATTACTTGGGAAACTTTTATGTTTTCTTGAATGACCATGTTTACCTGCCATGCTTCCACTTTCTTTATATCGGCACAGGAATTGTTGGTAAATGGTCCATTTCCTGGAGTGCAAGTTAGAATGTCTTGCAGGGCTTGTGCAATGGAATAGACAGCCACATACACATTATAGGAGATGCGTAGATGAGTGTAATCCAAATATGGTGTTTCTACACTTGTAATGTCCTCTTCACCAGTACAAAGAGGCCTGGACCCATTTTTTATGTTATCACGTCTTGGACTGCCTTCCAGATAACAATTAAAAGTCTCTTCCCAGAATTCCCTAACAAACTCATTGTGAGATGACTTCTTTGGTTGCACTTGTTGCAGGAAGTTCTTGAAACCTGGTATCGTACCTGCTCTGAGTGCAAAGCCAATAGTGCCGCCCACAACATGGAAAAACTCGGGTCTTGCAATTAAAGAAGAACTAGCCCAAGCTTCACTGGCTAGCCATATACGGTCAGTAATGTTGCGTTTGACAATCTCTTTGATGAGTGGCTCCATGTCTGGTCCACTAGCGAAAACCGCAATAACTTTGGCGGAAGAGTTCTCAATGCGGTCCACAAGTGCTTGTATGCGCTCCTCCTCAAAGTACTGTGAAATTAACTCATTCAGGTGAATGCAAATGTCTCGTTCTTCCACCTCTTTCTCAAATTTTTCAATACCTGGTCGTCCATAGTCATCATCTGAGGCAACTGCTATGACCCAGTTCCACTGGAAGAAATCGATTATGTCAGCCATGGCAGTGGCCTGGTACTCATCTGTCGGGATGGTCCTCATGAAGGATTTGTACTGGTTTTTGTTGCTGAGAAGGCGGCTTGAAGAAGCGTAGCTGATCTTTACCGTGAAAAAGAGAGTGATCAACGAAAAGGACAACTTCTAATAAAGTTAAAAATAGTTAACGCAAATCAGTTTACATAAAGAACCGGAAACACTCTAACAACATGCCACTAGAATAAAAGACCAATTCCCTATCAGGAATCTGAAAGAAAAAAATAGATTTAACAAGGGTTACTGCGATTGTTGCTACTTCCTCAAACAAGTTTTATTACATGGTGTGCCAACCAAGTCTAAACTAAATTGTGAGAAAAATGTTCTTAAATGAAAATGTGATATGCCATTTGTCAACAATTATTTCAGGTTTGATTGGTTGGTAACGCTTTACTTAAGGCCATGTTTTTTACTAATTTATAAACACATTCATAACAAATAAAACTGCATTCATGAAGCATTATAAACATGGCTATAAATATTTATCAAAAGGCATAACACATTATAGCCATGTTTATTATGCATTATGAATGCTTTATGAGACAACCTATTATGAATGCATTATGAAAGTGCACTGAATGTTCAATGAATGCATTATAAAGGCATTTGAAGGTACAACTAATGCAATGCATTACCAGATAAATTAGGCAGGCAAACATGGTGTCCAAGTTAAGCTATTAGGCTTTAGGTGTATATTCTAAGGTTGAGAGAAAAAAAAATCCAAATTTTTCCTAGAGAATAAATTCTGGAGCACTGGAACTTCCAACCGCCATGTATTGACTGACTCAGAACAAACCCATGTTGCATCCTTCGCTTGCACGGCTGCATCCACGAGACTCTTGCTAACCTTTGTTGATGTTGGATAGTATTTAACGTTTTTCAACAAGTGATCAACCATGTTTTTAATGGTAATTTAATTATCAAATATTTGATATATATATATATATATA